ATCTAGAAATTCTAAATAAAAAGTAGCACAAACTTTTGATAATGCTGTTAGCTAATAGAAGCCTATAAAATATTCTTAAAAGAATTGTTAAATAAACTAAATAACAAATATATAAAAAAGTACATATATTAACCAGATTGCTAAAATTATTAAAAGAAAAAGAATATATAAATATACTATATTAGACTATCTAAATTGGTAGTTTGCATTATAAACAACCTTAGTTTATTTTAGTACTCTTGTACTAAAATATACAGTTAAAATTATTAATAAAAATATGAGCAAGGCCTCACCTTAGCACCAAAAAAAAAAAAAAAATTTTAATATATTTTGCTAATTATATATATAAATTATAACTTAAAAATAAAGTTTAATATATTTTGCTAATTATAATATAAATTATTAGTTTAAAAATACAGTACTATATATATTTTTATTTATAATATAAAATATTATTATAAAATTAGTATAGTTAAATATACAGTATATATTTTATTTAAATAATATAAATTTTATTATAAAAATACAGTTCAGTTTAGGTCACAGATAAAGTTGTCTAAGCTTTAATTCTTGTATGTAGTTTTTATTTTGTATTTTACAATCTTAGTATATCTTTAATATATAGTATATTAATATGTACAACTAAAATTACTAATAAAGTTATGAGCAAGGCCTCATCTTAACACCAAAAAAAAAAATATTTAAAATTTTTAATTTTAATTTTTTTTAAAAAAAATTAACTAATTTTAAAATTTTTAAACAATATATAATAAAAATAAATTTAAAAATATATTCTATAAATTTTTAAATCTTAAATATATTTATTTAATTACAAGTTAATATATAAAATTTTATATAATTAGAATACTAATTTTAGTGTATTGGTTAGGTTGTTATTCTTCAAACAGTAGATTCAGAGTTTAAATCTTACTAATAATAGAATTTTAAAAAAATAGTTATATTTTAACAACTTGATTAAGATATTTGTAACCTTATAATTTTGATTGTATCAAGACTAATATTAAAAGTATGTAATGTTATACAAATAAATCTTAAAAATAAGAGTGTAATAACTTAGTGAAGTGGATAAGTTGTCAACCTCTCAAGTGGTAGATTGTGAGTTCAAAATCTATTTACAGTAAAAATTTAAATAATTATCTATATAATATATAGACAGTATTGTAATAACAGCATTTTGTTGATTAGTTGAGATAAGATACCTGTAACTATAGTTGCACTAGTATAACTAGCAGATTATAAGGCATCTGTATAAGCTTAGTTATACAAAGAGATGCAAACTAGTACTAGGCAGTGCAAACCTAAAATAAGTTCTTATAGTTGTATAAATTTATAGAACTAAAAAATCAGAACCTATTTAAAAATACTAAATAGAGAGATAATACAGATCTTTAATGATACTATTATGAAGGTTAAACCTAGAAAACAGATACCATATGAAGAAATTATACAAGTAAGAACCTTGAATGAGAAGTATCATCAAGCATGCTACTGGATTTCAGACTAGAAGAAAAAAATAATAGACTGGATTTGATATACCAAGAACAGATCATAGTTTTTTTAGACTATCTGAATTGAGAGTCTGAAAACAAAAGCAAAGGTATACTAAAAGTACTAGAAATATGTTGTGAAGTTAGTGCTAGAGTCTGGATGAACTCTGCAAGAGTAACCTATATTAATATTCTGTATAGTAAGTAAGTAGTTAACAAAAAGGATTCACTGCATCTTACAAACAAGTGTTATATTCTAAAATGTGTAATAATCTAAAAACTAGTACAAAATAAGTAAATATTATACTGCTTAAATAGTATACTGATTAGGTATATATGAGGTTAATTAGTGTTACATCATTATAGAGCAAATGATTAAAAGATTTAAATAGATAATCTTCTAGTAGGTTATAGATATGACATCTAGTATAGAACCTTAGAACAAACTACTTAAATAGGCAATTAAAAGTTGCATATATGACTAGTTGTATTCTTATCTCTGTATAAAATAGTTGTAATAACTAACCCAATAAAAAATTAATAAAGTTTCATTGCAAAGTATAGTTTTTAATACAAAAAAAAAATCTTAAAAATATATACTCTAAAAGAAACTTTGTTTAAAAATTCCAAGTAGAAAAATAGTATAATTTTCAATAATATTACTTATAAAAATCTTGATTCAAAAAAGAAAACCTGAAACAGACAACCTATATAAACAAGAATTTTAGATAAAAAGGTCAACTAACCTGACTACTAATTGAACTAAATATGAAGTTGCATTATACAAAGCTTACTAGATTAATATTATAAGTAATAGTAAACAAAATACTGATAAGGCTGTAAAAGAAAGTACTAAGGTTATATGAACTTTACAAAGATATAGCAATTTAATGGTAAATCTTAACTGCAAGTGTTGGTCTTAACTATAACATCACTAAATCAACTATAAAATAGAAATACAAAAAAGATTTTAGAAGGTTTATCTCAAGAATAAATTAGTTCTAAAGTTAAAAGCAAAAAATCTAAGTCTATAACTTAGTGAAATTAATACAGAGATGCAAAAACAAAGAGTTTAAATAAAACATCCAAGCAGAAGTGTTAGATATAACAATTGATAAAAAACTTTTGAGTGAATTTCTTAATTAGGTAATATAGAAAAGTCATACATGTAACCAATTGTATACTCTTTTTGTAACTGTTTAAAATGTGAACATGTTACTCACCAATATTAATAAAAGCCAATAAGCCAGAAAGATTGCCAAAAAAAAATTTTTATGTAATTACATTTTAATTCAAATGTATTAAGTTGATTTATTATGCTTAATAAGATGACTAATATAATAAATAATCATATAATATTTCAAATTATATATAGTCACATCATCTAAGTGCAAACCCTTAAGTGCAAACCTTCTCTAAATGCATATTATAGCCTGGTCCCAACCTTGGAACTTAAACACCTATATTCTGCATATGTATAAAATTTCAAAATTATAATTATATAAATATGACTTTGTAAATACAAGTATAAAATGTTTTACCAATAAAAATAATATTATATAAGGTTATCTTTAAATGTAAGTTATCTTTTCTTTTTTGATTAAAAAACTTTAAAGACATTTTTTACTTTTACAATTAATATTGCCACTACATATAAAAGTCAAAATTTTACTAAGTAAATATTTTACCTCTTAAGTAAACTTATTCAGACGATCCAAGTACATATATTTTAAATTTTTTATCTAAATTAGAGAACTTTTAATACATTTTTTACATCTTACGATTGACAACAAAGTTAAGATTTATATTCATTGATCGTAAAAAGCAAAGGTTAAATAATAAAAAAGTTATTTCCGGTATATATGTAATTTAATCTTTTGAATAATTTTACTTAATGACTAAAGATCGATTTACTTGGCAAAATTTAGACTTTTATATAGGGAACTGCTATTCGCACCATAGATTTTTGCTATTCGCACCATGGTATGTAGATCACGACCAGAATTAGTTAGAGTTAGGGTAAGTAGTTTTTCATAATGTTAGTTACCATGGTGCGAATAGCAAAAATCCATGGTGCGAATAGCAATTCCCTTTATATATATCAAACTATTTGTAATCGAACATATACTTTCTCTAAATGCAAACTTATATCTAATTCTTAGAGTATGCACTTAAAGAGGCATAACTGTATTAATTCTATAAATGCATACCTCTCTAAGTGCAAACTTACACCTGGTCCCCATAGCACACACTTAGGTGGCGTGACTGTATTGTATTTGATGAAAAAGGAAAACCTATTTACTTTTAATGAAAATCAAGTAATTTACAATTATTATTTTATTATTTAAATCGTCTTGATGAGACCATTCGAATGATATTGAAATCTTAAGTATTCAATTACCTTGTTTTAAGATATCTATCAAAGTAAATATTCAAAAAGCTTGATTTACAGGTTTTTCTTTTCCGTCACTCATTTTAAAAAGTTCTATTAAAGAATTATCTTGAAATATTATAAACTCACAATAATTTATAAATTTGATATTTGATATATATGTATAGTTAAACCTTTGTAATACTTTTAAAAAATATAAATATATAAAGGTTTTTTCTATATATGCAATAGTAACTTGTTTAAAATAGGTGTGCACAAAAAGGGTTATGCTTTAGAAAGGGTTTTTGTAGTTATATAAAAAATTAATCATAATTGATCATATTTTATGATTGATTATAAGTATTAAGTTTTGGCATTTCTGTACAAAAGATCCAAAAAGAGGATATATTTTGCTGTATGTGGTTCGGAATTAAATACTCACCCTTCATCTTAAAAAAAAGTTGGCTATACTGTTGTAAATATAACAGAGAACATTAATGACCCACGACAAGCAATGCAAAAGGTAAAATAATGCAGATGATAGTTATGATTCCGATAGTTTTAAATGTCGTGAATAGATGAATTTCACTTCATACTATTCTGGGCAGACTTGAGAAATTATTAGAAATTAAGGTTTTGAGGGGTGAAATTTACCGTCGTCCAATGATTTATGGTAGACATTTATTCTTACAAAAAAAAACATAAGTTTGTGACATCTGTAGCGAATAGAGCATTGATAAGTAAAATATTAATATATTGAAACCGTATTTGAAATGTTGGTTGACTCTCCGGATTATATTCAAAACATAGCACTTTCAGGCAATTTGTACACTTAGCGATTCGTTATGTAATATGTAGATAGGATAACACTTACCTTAGATGTGTTTTTCGGTGATCAGCCTTGGTAAATGATTTCTGAGTAGAATAACCGAGTTTATTGAAAGGTTAGCAACCAATAAATATCAGTAAAGTGGAGATAATAAAAATATTTTAGTATTTATAATATTAACGTTTGTCGAAATCATATACTAAATGCTGTTCCTGTAAATGTCAACTAAACTATGTTCTATATGAATACAATATCTATAATGAATTCGTGTCGCTACCATAAATAATCATATTTATAATTGTTCAGAAGTTTCGGCTTCTGGAGGGAAATAATCTGATGTACGATAAATATTCAGTGATCGCATTGGAGGGAGTTTCAAATCGGAAGGTTCTATTGACTTGGCCGTATTCTATTCAAAAAAAAAGTTAATCCGTGTTCAACAAAATGATTATAAAGTAAAATAAATACAGACTATCTTTAAAGTGTCTAAGACAAGATTAATAGGATTAGTAATGAATGCTTCGGCTTCTTCTACACGGTTTGTTACATCGTTAACTGTTTGTTTTACTATATTGATGAAGCACTGTTTTTGATAGCAGTATGGGAATATTAACCTAAAGAATACTAATATCATAAAGTTTGAACATAAAACTCATACTTCTAAAGCATCAATCTTGTCATATAAAGTATCTAAATGATGAGCAGCCTCATAAAGTTCTTTCGAGACTGATTCCGAGCGGGTGGACATATCTGTTTTAACCTTTATTTTTTTATTCAATGATGTTAAACAAAAGAATAAATATGACAGCATAATCGAATAGAAGAGAAGAGAAGAGTAGATACATGTTCCAAGGATTGTCGAATTCCTTCCATTTTGTACGTTACATTTTCGACACTGTTTTGAACTTCTTTTACCTATACATATATACTTTTTAGTTTCTATATTTATTATATGAATAAAGCGATATATTTACGTACTGTTTCTACGCTAGTTTCGGAAAAATCCAAGTGCTTAGCGAGTTCTTGTGATATGTCGCTCACACTATATTCTCCCATTTTTACGATATTTTTTTCAAGCAGAGATAACGATAAAGATATATGTACAATTTCGTATTCTGTTACACAAACATGCAAGCATGGTTAAAATCCTTTTATTGGTTAGTGATCAACATTATTTGATTGTTTTGATTGACTAGCCTATCAAACTTCCAATTTGCTTAAGTAATAGCAGATAAAATGTACTTTTTCAGAATTATGGACAATTGGATAAAATAGTGTCTAAGGAGTGTAGTTATAAGAGTTACATATAGTTAGACCGAACCAGTCAGTATATATATTTTATTGTCCTGTATTACAAAGATTAAAAGGTATCATGGCAGTCCGGTAATCAGAATTGAATGATTTTTATTTTTAAAAGAGGTGAATCGTATAAAATCATCGACTCTGATCGATGGGTCACAAGTTATTCAATTCACCACATTACCCACCTTCATCATAACACCTTCCTGTTTCCTTATGTAAGGTGTGAAATACAATATTACTGGGATATTACCGGGAGGTAGAACCATTATAAGCCCAAATAACATTTTGAAATATAATTTTATTTGTGTAGTTTTTGTAACCAGTCCTAATGTTAATTTATTATTTGGGCAAGTGAACAGACATTTTCAAAATATTTTAAATGCATTAGCAGTGGTTGTAGGTGGAAATATATTAATAGGTACTGACAACTTGGAAGCACTTCCGTTACTATTTTTTGTTGTCTGGTTCACTGTATCGTTACTAATATTGCTGGTACTATCGTGACTTTTAACAGAATGCTGGTCTTGTTTTTGTTCATCCAACATCACCTTCACATCAACTTCAGTCTTGCCTTGAAGATTCATCAAAAGATTTTTTATAGCTTCTGATTGTTCTATGTTTTCATTGGCAATCTTTATATGTTGTTCATGAAGATGTTCCTGGAGGTAAAATTTCTGTTTTAGGCTCTCATTTTCTTCAGTTAACACTCTTATCTGTTCATCCATCGATTCTGTTCGTTTAATGGTTTTACCAGCCAATGTAGTTCGACCCTGAAGTTTGTATGCTGTGTTCTCGTCTTGTAATGAATTTATTTTATTTTTTAATATTTTTATGGTATTTTTATTTGCTTCCATCTCTTTCTTCATATTTTGATTCTCTTGAATTTTTTCCTTCAGTTCCATATCTGTTTTAGAAAATTCGACTTTTAAATCTGCCAACTCCTTCCGGACGTTTGCTAATTCGCGTGATGCTTCACTGCTTTGCTGTTCTTGCTGTTTTCGTCGTTGTCCTTGGAGCTCACCCAATTGCCTTCTGGTGCTAGCAAGTTCTGCACTAAGTTCATTGATTAAGTCCCGAGACTTGCTATTGTCCTCCTGAAGATTGTTTATGATTTCTTCACGTTGTGTGGATTTACTACACAGATCAATGAATTTTTGTTTCCAATCTTCTGGTGTTTCATTCTAATAAAAAGCAAAGGTTTATGTATTATCATGATTTTTAATACTTCAAATTTTAAAGTTTAATTATGTAAAGATAAAATACTTGTTCTTTCTGCTCTTTTGCCGAAGTATTTGACCTTTCCACAGGATCAGATACTAATTTTCCTGAAGCTTTATCGCTCAATTGCTTAGGTGGTTCTCGTGGTGATGTAAATAAACGTCTAGGGGATCGAAACACTGTATTCGAACGATTAGGAGATTTACTTGAAATTTTGGTTGATCCGAGCGTTGGTGTATTTACACGCCTAGAGGATTCGGGCACTGGTGAATTTATATGATTGGGTGAATTAAGAGTTGGCGGTTCATTTCCCAATTGATTAATTCCAATTTCTGGATCTTCAACTTTAATTATTGGATCTTCTTCAACTTTATTTAAATCAGTTGAAATTTTTATTTTCTTAGCTTTTAGATCATCCTCGTTAGAAGCCGTTTCTTTAACCTAAATTAAAGTGGTTAAAGTGATGGTAACATGTAGGATATTGTTGAAACCAATTATATAATAGTTAATATAGTATACCTTTTTTCTCTTGCTAATTCCTACATCAATGCAAATTCTTTTTTCTGAGCTTCCTGGTGACACAGACAATCCTCCGGCATATGTACTCCTGTCCCAATTTTTCTCAATGGCAGCGTCCATTCCAAAATTTAAAATCCTTAGCTTTCCTTCATCTAACCAATTTTCAATCTTTTCGCATACACCTTTGATATCAAATTGCGCCACTTCACAACCAGGTACAATAAACTGATGTCTTTTCCATGCACCATAAGTTATAGCCTTTTTTAATTCTGAAAGCGTCAAATTTGAAAGAGTCTTTTTCTCTATCAACATTTGGTAACTCATTGCATGTTCTATAGTATTTTTGGTAACAAGTCTGATAACCGGAATGTTCATATTGGACACAGATTGAGCGAATTTCGATTCTGGAACGAAATTTGTGTCATATGCAATCATAAGGTCAAGGGGTGGCTTTAATGGAAAGAATATAATAAATTAATTAATAGTAGAAAATTATAAATATTTGTAATTATATACATATGTATGTATATGTATCTATAATATGAGTGATCAAAGTAAAAACCAACAAATCCGTTTGAGAACTTCAATGATTTTTTTTAGCGTTGATTATCTTTCATCAACCTACTGTTGTAATAAGATTGCATAATCATATTTAATTTCATGATAATGTTTACTTACTAACTCAATATCTGTGTTTTGCAAGGCTGTTGAAAATATAAAACACATTAAGCCATTATGAGAAAATTCTGTAGCTGGTTGTTTACTGGTATCATGCTTAATTGAAGGATCGTTAATAAATCTGTATCGATGACCATTTGATTCCAAAAAGTCTATAAAAATATCCTATAAAATATATTATAAATAGATTATTTATATAAAGTTTTATGAATTTAACAGTAAATTAATATAATAATTTACCGTCATTAATCCTGGAGGAATTGAAATGCCGATAGCAAGGTTCTTATGCCTTAACATTTTTAATAATTGCCGTATCATTACAAGTTTTCCGGTATGATCGACATCTTTTATCCAATTATTAGACTCATTTGAAGATAAAAGCAATGATAGATGATTAACAACCATAAGTAATTGCTCTTTGGCTAGTAAAATTGGGGAATTCAGAGGTAAAGGTACCGAAGCTTGAGCAAGGGATCGAGTTAAATGAGGTGCAGATATAATTTTACGATATACTTTTTGTTGCATCAATGATAATGGTACAGGAATCATGACATCCAGCTGGCTATGAGATAAACGATGCATCGATGGTATCTGACATGCCAGTGGATTGTCACCGTCTTGACCATTTGTCATTGGTTTTATTTTAGAATGTATTGAAGAAGGTGGTGTCATTTTATTTTCATTGCTTGATGAGTCAATCATCATGAGGGTTTCAGACCTATTCCCACCATCGACTTGAGAAAGGACAGTTTCATTTCCGCTGTTGGAACCCCCAATTATTTTTGACACCTTCCTTCCTTCTTTTTTGGGTGATAATATTTTTCCGGGTGGTGGTAAAGTTGGTGATCTCATCTTTCTTTTAGCGGCTCGTTTTTGTTGTTCCCAAGATTCAATAAGTGGCTGAGTACAATAGCTTGCCGGTTCCTAAAATTATAATAATAATAATAAATATATATTCAAGTGTAAAATTAATAAACTAAAGGTAATTAATTACTTACCCATGTTGGGGCCCAAGGCTTTCCACTTTCATCAATTCCTTTCCATTTAATAGAATAATACAGTTCATCCCCCATCAATTTCTCATCTAAAATCCTTTCAGCTTCATAATAAACTTTTCCATTGGGCATTATTAATGTCGTTACGTACTAAATTATCCTTTTATTTTGGGGGATTTTTTTTTCTGTGCTTTTTTTTCTGTTTTTTTTTTGTTTTTTTTTTTGTTTTTTTTTTTTGTTTTTTGTTTTGTTTTAAAGAAACAAGTTCAAAAGTTTTATGACATGTATAATAAAAACAAAAACAAAGGTCCTTTTTTCTTCTATATTTTTATAACTTTTTCTTTGCTACATAAATCTACAAATACATACCGACTACTTTCTACTATATGCTTTTTTGACGACTCGTATTTTCGCTAAACACAAACAACACTTTTAGACAACTTTCTTAGCAAACCAAAGCCCCTTAACGTTTGAACTCCTTAATAACGACTCGAAGTCTCCGGTTTTTTTATTTTTAAAAACAACTCACCGGCAAAAAATAGTCTCTTTGTTACACAACCCCTGTCTTGTCAAGAAGTTTTTTTGGTCCCCTCTATCGAACTCTACAAAGTATTGCTAAAGGTAAATAAGAAACCACTATAACTTTCAAATGTATGAAAGAACGCTCCAAATAATCTTTCTTGCAAAAAACAATAATCAATTTCTTTAATGTTAATTTATTTATTAATATACTATCGTAATGTACGCTAAACTCTTTGGTATGGCAAGGAAAAAAAAAATAGGCCATGAGACCGGATTGGGAATTATTGGTATATTTATAATTTCGGTCATGAAAAAAATTGAGCTACCGCAGCCATTATTGTTGTACAACGGTGCAATTTTAGGATTGGATCTACATAAATTCTTTAATGATGCATAAAACACCCGCAAACTAGATATCGATATAAAAAGCTTGAAAGAGTCCAAAACATCTCTTAAAGTGCCAAAAATGAAAATTATATAGCCGTTGTTTAAAGCCGCATATAGTACCTAGGGTCTTATAAAGAACCTTCATTTTTAAGTTGGTTAGTAGTTGGGGTACTTTGTATAGTAGTTGGTACTTTGTATAGAACCGGGTACTATTTGGGAAACATTCAACTAGTATGGATATTATTCAAGAATTAGGTTGGCAAAAGTGGTGAGTCTTAATCATTGGGGATTTATTTTATGGAATAAATTATGCAGCTTCAAACAATAATATTCAATTTCTCATTAGCGAAATTGCAAAACTCGATTTCGCCTTTTGTTAATTAAAATCTTGAGTTAAACTGGCAAAAGATGAAAAAAATTGATGATAGCAATGTTGGATATGAATATATATATATATATATATCCATTTATTATGCTATTCGGACACTGGACATCAGCGTCGAAATACAAATTTAATTTCATATTCTCATGAAAACATCTATATAATAGATTTTGAAATTTTTTATGTTATTACAGTCAACACACTCTAAGTGTAACTCTTAATAATTTTTATTTTGGTCCTAAGCATATAGAGCAATATAAATTTGGCATGTAACTTCACTTTAAATGCAAGATTTTATTCTTTGTTTATATTAAATTTTTCTATGCAAATGTTTCTATACACCAGCAACTTGTACTTAGCGAGAATTGATAGTATATACGAGTTTAGGATTTTTTATGTTCTCAGAGAACATTGAGAGCACTAAATTTAGCATTATATAATTATATAATTATATAATTATATAATTATATACTATTAAAAGCATGCGATTACTATCCAATCATAACGAAGTATTCTAGGTCTCTATCGCGTGACTGACGTAACAATCAAATCTCCGCATCAAATTTACAAAACTTCTTAACAGAAATGGATCTTTTGTTATAACACGAAAGCTATTTTTTAAAGTCAAATTTCGAGCTTTTAATTTTTTTTTTTTTTTTTTACAGCGCGAATTAGTCACGTGAACGTTGAATCTTGACTATTATGAGAAACTGTCCTAGCGTTACCAACAGGTAACATAGCAAGTAGGGATGGATCCGGTCACAAACGGTCACAATTATTCATAGTCAATTTTCTCAATACTGTAATGATTTTTTATTTTTGAGCTTTTAATTAAAGCTTTTCAGAATTAAATTCTGTTCATCCCATCTTATAAGTGGAAAGAACAATACCTTCTCTGGATCCCAGAATTTCAAATTTTGTTAACGTTATGACCAGTTATTGACCGGTTATACGTTGACAAACTTTGAAATTCCGATTTCCGGGGAAGGCATCGTTCTTTCCACTTATAAGATGGGATGAACAGAATTTAATTCTGAAAAGCTTTAATTAAAGCTCAAAAATAAAAAATCATTACAGTATTTAGAAAATTGACTATGAATAATTGTGACAGTTTGTGACCGGACCCATCCCTAATAGCGGTGACAGAAATGACCTATCAATCAGGGACCCGGAAATTTTTGGATATATTATTGTATTAGTAATAATAAGTCACTGACCGTTGATTGGTCACAATTAGAGTTGCTAGTGAAACTGGTGAAGCTTTTGATGAATGGTGGTGAAACTGGTGAAATTTAATATAACAACCAATCAAATTTTAGGTAGTCCAACATTAATTAGTTTCACCTAATTGCGAATTTTTTCTGCCACTATCACTATGTTACCTAAAAAATTTCGTTGGCCAATCAGATTTCAAGATCAGAAAACAAAAAATCGTTAACAAGAAGTTTTCCTTATTTTGTTACTATTAAGGCTCTTCCTAACTCAACTTAATAGCAAAACCTAACTTTAATTTAACAGTGAAAATTCTTTTATAGGTTAGTAACGCTAGGACAGTTGTTCTGGGATTATTTCCGTATAAATCAATCTTAATTAAATAATAAATATTATAAGCATGCAACTGATATACCAGGTGCTTATAGTTTATTTTATATGCTTTCAGTAGTTAAAAATAAATATTCCATATTGTATTAACTAATATATAACCTTTATAGTAAATAACTTTTGATTTACTGGCTTATTTTGAATGATTTTTATCAAAATGATTGTCTCTTTAATTATAATTATAATCCTAAACACTAACACAACCGTAAAAAAAAAACACTCCAAAAAAATTCATATCAAAATAGGTCCAAATTTCAGCATCAACCGCGACAATCATTGTCTTGATGATTCTAATAATCATAAAATATTTAAAATTTAATTACAAAATTTTGAAATTATTAAAGCTTTGTATTGCTTTTGAAGTAATACAAATCAAAATTTTAAACCCGTTTTTCCAATCCATGAATCGGTTAACCAATTATCTATTGGATATCCAATATTTGACAGATAAAGATTAATGAATGGATACCCGAATTGTCCATAAATTATTCGGATTCATTTGACAATTAAAAGTTCTAAAGTAATTAACAATATAAATTTATTTAACGATTACAAGTTCTAAGGTAATCAATAATATAAATTAGGGACATTCTATTTACATGCGGTGAACTAGAAATGGATCAAGAAAACCTCCATCTGAAAGTAAGTGTCAGGTGGTAGTTTTCCTATCCATTCCTCATATAGCATGTTGGATAAATGTGTGATTACTGATTACTTAAAAACTACTCCGATATTGCGATATGAAATTATCATATCTCAGTTCTTTTAAATCACAAATAATCACCTAACAATCGAGCGACTTCTTTTTTTTTTGATCTGCAAAGTTTTCAAAATTTTGCAAATCGCAATAATAGTTTGGTCTTTTAAAATGTAAAAACATAAAAAGAACATATGCACATGAGTAGGAGGCTGTTAAAGAAAAAATTAGCGTCTATGACCTTTATGACTTGAAGGACAGTTAGTTTATCAAAATAATGAATTAACAAAAAGACAAGATCCGCAAAACAACAATATAACAAAGAGGTGTAATAATTTATTAAAATCTCTAACTACAGTATAACGAATACAGGGGGATCCCCAAAATTCCGGGTCGGAATACTTCGGAATCATGATCGGCAGGGCCGGAATTAACTAATTTTG